GGTACAGGAAAGCCGCATCATACGCCAGTAGGACTAACAACATCAATCGCCGTCTCTATATAAAGTAATGCATGGTAAATGAAGTAAAAACCGTATGATGCTGAATATAAATTCAGAACAAAGTTATAGAGATACAAAAACAGGAAGCAAAAGAATTCTTTTTTAACCGGTCATGCTACAATAACTACAGTAAATGCTAAAAATTATTACAAAAGAACAGGCAACTTAATACAGTGAACGCTAACTTTATTAAGAAAAAAACATTGTCAAATTTAGTCGCTGTCACTTGTCAAGTCGAATGGATCATTCCAGGAACCTTCGCTCGCCTCTTCGTCTTCACTCGCAAAGTCATCCGTTGAATCGCCGTCCAAATAGTTAAATATTTCATTGCTGGACTCCGAATCGCTGAAAATGTCGTCACATCTTTCGATGAAGTGTGGAGTAGACGGTGTATCGGATTCGGTCTCAGTCTCGTATTCGTCATATGATGAGTCACCTGAGTCTTCATGCGTTGATTGCGATCCATACGGGTAGTTATCCAGTCGACGCGCTTCATCGTCCAGCTCTTGCACCCGCTGCACGTGAAAGGCAAGCAGTCGCTTGACGACCTCGAGATGGCGGCGCATAGTGATGAGAAGCGAGGTGCAGTTGTTCACTGAAGCTTGGAGTCGATCGATGGGGTTCATCGTTGAAAATTGCGAAGTGAGCTGCAATGTGCTTCCATTGTGTAGCATAACTTTTAGTACAATACACCTTAACCTGGGTTAATAACATTCATTTTGTTACAAACGACGACTGTTGCTTGAAGTTCCTACGTAAATAACGGCTATCATCGACTTTCTTCAGTTGCGGGATGTACCTGAGTTTGTGACCTGTAACTATGTGCTTTGTGGGAAAGACCCTGCCTTCCCTTAATTCATTTCTGACAATATCATATAAAGTAGCCTCGCCATCATTGAAAACTCAAATTAAATACGGAAATCATAGAAAGTAGCTGCACATAATACAATAAAGCCTACGGCTTAGAAAAAAGCCTCTAGTCTTAGAAAGTAGCCGGAAACGTCATAGAAAGAAGCTTTTCCCGACGTTTGGCCTTGCGAGGTGCAGAACCTCAAGTTTTGGTTTACTGCGGCCTCGATCACAAGATTCTTTGGATTCACTGTGGTCATGGTCGAAATATGCCTTGGCTTCACGGCGTCATTTGCCGCAAGCTTCATCGCTTAGGTGATGCTGACTCCATCTCAATCGGATCCGGTTCGAGATCCCAAGTCTGCGTAAAGATTTTTCATATTAGGACAGGATATCATTGGAATATGAATTCAATTTCACATCAGGACTGTGTTACTGGTTTAGAAAACATAATGGAGGTGCTCATGTTGCTCCATTTCTCGAATCATCCCCATTGTGTCAGTCAGGTCTGCAGGCTCGATCTCAGAGACAGTATCACTGTCTAAGCCACCATCGACAATTTCATCTGATCCTGAGTCTTCATGAGGTGCCGTCGTAGCGTCCTACCCCTGACTACGCCAACTATTCCGACGTATTCATACCCTTGGCTGCAAAGCTCTGTAGAACGCTGAGATATTCAATCCGGCGAGATAATCAATAACGGGTTCGAATGCCCCTTTCGCATAGTTGGGCTTCTCTTCAAAGAACACCACCGCCATATTCGGATGCTCACGATGTTTAATTTTCACATAAATCACACGCATGTGCGTCAACAAGATCGCACGGCTTTTGAACTCACCTCATCCATTGTTGATGCCGATGGTGCGCTCGATGTTGCACGTTGTATTGCACCTTATCTTGCAGGGGTGGCTTCTTGTGTTAATTCGGACGTTCATGTAGTTTTGGACAATTCGTATGAATCTGCAGGTTGCGCGAGACCGCCGTGCCTGAATGATTAGCTTGCAATTATCATCGTATCTTGAATGTCCTGGGACATAGCCACATTTTCGGCAATATTTGGATCGCCGTCGTCTTACCTGATGT